CATGAGATTAGTTCACTTTTATGAAAACATAATAATGTTAAAACGTGGTTTGTAACATTGCATGCATGCACATAAGTTATACATGTTCCCGTCATGTCATTTACTCATGTTACATGTTTTAGATGATGAAATATATTGTTGGAAAAATATGTTTAGTATTTCATTATAGATGCAAGGTATGAAAATAAATGATATCAAACAGATACATGAATTATTTATTTTATCTTCAATTTAATGATCGGTTCACCCTTCATTTTGTCAATAATAACTATTTTAACACGTAAAAGTTGATTTTATGTCCTTAGAGTACTTAAAAGAAGGTAAAAAACCTTTTAAAACAAAATATAAGTTTGTAGGCTATATATAGCTTCATTTTCTGTTAAAAAAATACCATAAATAGATAGTCGTTAAAGGATGTGAAATGCTTGTTAAGAAATAGGTACATCAAAAAATATCCATGAAGCTGAGATAAAACACATTTGACATTTATATTTTTAGAAACTTTTAAATATTATTCCTTTCCAAAAATTATAATAGAATTTTCATTCAATATTTTTTGAGGGCCCCTAAACGGTGGAATTAACGGTAACGTCCCAATTCCGTAACGGGAAGTTAACGTTCCAACAAACTACTACCAGAAAAGGGTATGGTCCCGTCTGAGCAAAGTCACCCGATCACTACCAACATCATCTTCCACTACACAATACTATAATAATATCTATATCTATATATGTAACTTCTCCTCGGTGCTTTCAATCAATATTCATCTTCCTCCCGATTCCAGATTAAACCCTAAATCAAAATGCCAATTAGGAACTGGGGGTTTCTTCTTTTCGTTTTTGTTTCGGTTAGTAGCGTAGCTTTGTCTGTTTCAGACCCGATTACTCAACAGAAGTTGGATCAGGTTCTGAACTTGCCTGGTCAGAGTTTTAATGTCGACTTTGCACACTATGCTGGGTATGTTACTGTTAATGACGAATCCGGGAGAGCTCTGTTTTACTGGTTGACGGAAGCTGTTGAGGATCCTGCTTCCAAACCTCTTGTTCTTTGGCTCAATGGAGGTTAGCTACTTGATTTGATGTATTTATTTCAGGTATTCCTGTTTTAAATTCAGATTCTGCGTGATCATTGTAAATCTGGATTTGTATGATGTTAGGGCTTTGGATCAGCAATATTTATTGGTTAAAAAATTACAATAGGAATTCGTATTGATTGGAAGTGTAATATATGTGCTTATTTTAATATTCCTCTGATAATACGAACTGAGTTGCTGATCTAGATTGTTTCTATAGGGCCTGGATGTTCATCAATTGCATATGGGATGGCTGAAGAGGTCGGGCCATTTCATGTCAATAAAGATGGAAAGTCGGTTTACTTGAACCCGTATTCTTGGAACACTGGTGAGAGTTTACAAACTTTTTTACCAAATTTAGTATTAGTTTATTATTGAAAACTTACTTTTAATAATCGTTAACTATTTGCAGTGGCAAATTTGTTGTTTCTTGATTCCCCTGCTGGAGTTGGATATTCTTACTCAAATACCACTTCAGATATCTTGAACAATGGAGATAAAAGAACTGGTATAACTTCAAACCTTTAAGTCACGTTTGGTTTGCAGAGAAGGAATTGGAATGTGAGATTCCATTCCATGAGAGAAATGAATGGAATTGAACTCATATACTGTTGTGTTACAGCTGCAGATTCACTTCAATTTCTCTTGAATTGGCTTGAAAGATTTCCTCAATTTAAAGGAAGGGATTTCTATATAGCAGGCGAAAGCTATGCAGGTAACTTATTGTAACGTATAAGAATAAAAATTATTCATTATAATCTGAATTTGAGATTAAATAGCTACTTAGTTTGACCTCAAAAGTCAATAATATTGTTTCTTCTAGGACATTATGTTCCTCAACTAAGCCAAGCCATCGTGAGATACAACAAAGAAAATACAAAAAGTCCAATTAATCTCAAGGGTTACATGGTAATTTCTCTCTGACCAAATCTTGTTACAAAAGATATTGAAGTTAATCGTGCACAATTTAAAATCTTTTATTTTTGTTGTTGAAGGTGGGAAATGCCCTAACAGATGATTATAGTGATCATGTTGGACTTTTCCAATTTATGTGGGCAGCTGGCTTAATTTCAGATCAAACTTACAAGAAATCAAACGAATTATGTGACAGGGAATCTTTTATTCACCCATCACGTGAATGTGACCAAATAGTTGATATTGCTTATGAAGAAATGGGTAATATCGACGCGTATTCCATCTTTACCCCTCCTTGCACTGCAACTGGTGTCACTAAACGCCTTTTAAGAAGATGGCATGTGAGTATTTCCTTCAATTTGCCTTATAATTTGTGAGAAGGGTATTAATGGAAACATTTTGTTGTACTACAGAAAGTCGGGCATATTGGGCAGAGTTATGATCCTTGTACTGAACAACACTCCACAATTTACTTCAATTTACCCGAGGTCCAAAATGCCCTTCATGTTTTCCACAGCAACACATCAAGAAAATGGGAAACTTGCAAGTACTACTTTTACATAAAGATCATATCTTGAAAAATAACTTATTGAATATGATATCTTACATTTTTATGATTGTTTGTTAATAAGTTGAATTTTGTTTCGCAGCAATGTTGTAAACTTGAATTGGAAAGATTCTCCTATATCTGTTCTCGATGTTCATCAAGAACTTATAAGCTCAGGACTCCGCGTTTGGATATTCAGGTTCTTGATCGTTTTGAAATTTTAAAAAAGTACAAAATCCCACCAATTTTGTTTTCGATTTTTAATTTAATTTTTTGTTATAGTGGTGATACGGATGCGGTGATTCCCGTCACTTCTACTCGTTACAGCATAGACGCTCTCAAGCTTCCGACGGTTAGCCCATGGCGTGCATGGTACGATGATGGCCAGGTAATTCCCTTCATCATCAACAAACCTGTACGAAGATTTGTAGGTCCCACATGTTGGGACCCTGGATGTTTGGCCCATTGATATAAGCCAAACATCCAGGATATATGTGGTCCCACTTTTTGGGACACACATAACATATGTAGGCCATACAGGATCACATGATTATGATATGGGATGTGTGGCCCACATGAGAAGGTCTGATTGGTTTTGAATAATATATAGGTTGGAGGGTGGACACAGGGGTATGAAGGGTTAACTTTTGTATCGGTCAGGGGAGCAGGGCATGAGGTGCCTTTGCATAAACCGAAGCTAGCGCTTGTGCTCATTAAGAATTTCTTAGCGGGAACTTCCATGGCATCATTTGATCAAGTGATTGAGTCCAAAACTTCTGCTTCAGAACAAGTTAGCGGCTTCTAGAACCTTCTCTAAACTTTGACTCTTGTTGACAATATAAAACACGAATAAATGTTGTGACCATTTCCTTTTGGTCTTGAAAGAGCATCTAGTGTTGTTGTTTTTAGGCAAAGAAGTAGTTGATGTAGTTTGTTGAATATATATGCCATAAATTTGATGTTGTGGTGGCTTTTTTCAGAAAGAAAGAAAGATGACTAGCAAAATACCAAATTGTCATTGCAAAGTCTTTTATTAATACAGGATCGCAATTATCAAATAATTTAACTCCCGTATCCCATTCATGATTCATCAACTATTGACCTCTGAAACAATGGCGACGAGAAAAGCTGCATTCCATGCTGTTTCAAACACTAAACTTTGTTATGTTGCTACAATTTGCCGAATCTAACACTAAACTTTCAAGAATCTTGATCTTTTGGTGAAAGGTTCTTCTTTTTCCCCTACATTATTAATTGGTTGTTCAAGATTGCATTTTCGATAATATAAACATCAATTTGTATTCTCAATGTTCATCAAACTAAAGCGATAAAAAGCTTCACTTCAATCAGATCAACAGAAAGTGATGCACTCATAAATCATAATATTAATGTAGCAACACGAATGAAAACAATATTATAATAACTATAAATGCAAGATCAGACGATCAAAGACAAAGTCTGATCTTGGATTTATAAACTGTCGTGATTCTTGGATGAGTAGAAAAGATGTTGTAAGTTGGGATTTGGATCTTGAATTTGTGACTCTAAATTTTGTGAGTCGGTTACTATGGAGGTGATTTTTGAGTTGTAATATCTAAAAATAAAATAATTGTAACTGTTAATTAAGTTGATGTTTGAGCTGTAACTTCTGGAACTATTGGGTTGATGTTTGATCTTTGAGTTGATTAGTTGGAATGTAATAGGGTTTCTTGTCTTCAGTGTGAACTGTTGTATAACTTTTTAGACATAAGTTTTGTATATTATAGATTTTCATCTCCTCTTCTGCAAAGGGACACTTCATATTCATATAATTGAATTCTTCAACTAGAATTATAGATTGTTACAAGATAATACAAAATCCTTCACGATTTGAAATGATTCACATGCACCAATTCCTAAAAGACCTAATCCAAAACTAGTTAAAAATGATTGACGATTCAAATAACAAAAGTAACGAGTATGGCTACACCAAGAAACCAAACAACATTTTTTTTATTAGCAAGACTTCGATAAAAGAAAAAAAAAAGTAACAAACAAGGAGTATATATTACATCAAGGGAGAGCATTATATGCATGCTTCTTTTTTTTAATCTGTTTTGATAATATACGCTGCTTCTTCATTATGCGACTTGGTATTTCTATGGTTGGCATGTGAAGAAATTTAGCAAAATCTTGTCCTGTAACGAGAGCAGTAGGAGTAACAGGTCGACGACACTCATAATGAACAGCGTACTTGCATTTCAAGCACTTAAAGATCATTCTGTATTGCAATTTTTCACCACAGTGATTGCATTTACCATGGCACTCGATCCCTTGAGCAAATGTTAGACGATGTCGGTGACCTTTTATCACAATCGTCCCTCCAAACTTAACATTGACGAAATAGAAGATACATCTCTTATAGTGGGTATATACGGCTTGCTCACACTGAAAGATTAAGGGTGCACATGCAGTATGCATCGACTGAACACAAAAACTACAATGATAGAACCAAGATTCTGGGTTAAATTCGTCCTCACAAATTTCACAAAAGTAGTCGTTAGGATGGTTCTCGACTGGATCGTATCTTAGGGTCAAAGGATGGTCATCGTACTTGTGTCTAATCATTCTAGGCAACATAAAAGCACACTCTATATCCAAGTAGAAATCGCAAGAAGGGCAATAGAATGCGATGCAATTTATTAGGTAATAACCACATGCATTGCATGGTGTTTCCGATAGACTGGATGAAGCATCTATTCTTAAGAGAAGATGGTCAGGGTGAGCTTCATGCGTGATTTCTTTGGGTAAGAATGCACAATTCACATCTACATAATACTCACAAGTCTTGCATCCATATGCGAAACCATTGGAAGGTAACATGCAAATCTTACACCCAAATACACCAAAGAACTTTCTAGTAACATTTGGCATGAGAAAAAGTGTATGGTTTGGATGGCCAGGGTGGTCTTTTATTTTACCGGGTAGCCTAGCACACCACTCATGAAGAACAAACCCACGACATGGATGTCGAACACACATGTAAAATGGTATTTTTGTGATCGGTTTCACACATCCATCACATAATAGTTGAATTTTCTTCAAGGGGTTGTGAAGTAAAATCGAATTCTTATTGAGTGATGTTTGCTTGTCTAAAAGAACCAGTGGGTGATTATGAGTAAGATGTTTGAGCTTTTCACCATGGTTTTCCTTAGCTACAAAGTCCTTGTCATTCTTGATAAAATGGTGCTTGAGAAGGTTGTAACTTTCATCAGGAAATGGACAACGGAGAAGATTAGGATGGTCATCATCTTTGAAATTTTTACAAATCTTTCCACGACCTGATAAATATGACATACTGAAATTTTATCTAATAATCATGAGACCATGAAAAAAGTATATATATATATATATATATATATATATATATATATATATATATATATATATATATATATATTGTTACCTGGGTGCAAAAATTGGACGTACTTTGAAGTTGCACAATGAATATGGACATAGTATCGACATTTATCACACTTGTAAACCCAAAAGTAAATATAGAAACCCGTATCACAAATTCTACATCTGGGATAGAACTTGGCTTCTTGATCAATGTCCGGAAATGAATATGTAAGGGTAAGTGGATGAGAATGAGTAAAATTGTCATTAGTAGGCTGTTGGATAAGTAATTTTGTAGGCAACAAAGCGCAATCCTGATGGATCCAAAACCAATAACAAGTGGTGCAATGGTAGAAAGTCCCATCATGTTCATGACCACATGCATTACAACTAGATACCAATTTCTTTAAGTTACGTTGCAGTCGGTGATGGTGGCTTGGGTGGTCCATCTTCTGTTGAGACATGGTAGCACAAATTATATCCATATTGAATTTGCAAATGGAACAATGGTAATTGAAGAAGTTCTTCCGCTTCCGATTGCAAACACCACATGTCCATTCTTGATCAGAATGAAAAGAAGGATGTGGATCTTGAAATCTCTCAGACAAGGTAAGGTTGTGGTTAGGATCATGTAATGGATGGTCTTGTAGGGTTTTGGGGATTTCTGCACAAAATTTGTGTAAAGAGTAGTTGCAATTCTTGCAGGTGTAGTAACACAAATGAAATGAACAGATGTCTTCCTTACACATGTTGCATTGGCCAACATGGTGGTCTTCAACCACAAAATCATCTACATCTTCTTCTTCTTCATTATGGTTTGGTTGTAGTTGAACAAGGTTGAGTGGATGATTGTGACTGAAGTGCACAAATTGTTCCATTGCAGCTATCGATGAAATGTCTAGCTACACAAATAGATATAGCTAGCTGGAAACGTGAATCTATATTTCATCATCAGAAAACAAAATAATCATAGACAAATCTTACTAGCTGTCCTAAGTTTATAAAGTAAAAACTATGAGATTGAGGATCACAACTTGCACATTTAGTCAAGTGGTTTCAACATCCAAATATTCAAAAACCCTTTCGAAATATATATATATATATATATAGTTTGAAAATTAAGATAAGTGAAAGAAAATGAATCTGAATACTATACAAACTTGACCCAAGTCATTCAATTTAAAGCTGATAAATAACACCATTTTCCTATCAAATTAATTTAAAATCTTATACATCATATCAATCATGTGACAAAATACTCATCTAAGGCAACCAGATGATCAATTTCCTCTTGCTTATTGAATATCATGGATAAACATTCAAAAGACATACTTTTACCTAGTTAATAGTTATTCAAACTCAATTTCTCCGGACTTTCTTAAAATCGATAACTAAATATCACAATGCCCGTTCTAATAAAAAAAACAATAGAATCGCATA